CCTGAAGTCAGGAGGACCTGAGTTCAAAATCCAGCCTCAGACCAAACACTTGGCATTTACTAGCTGTGTGACCCTGGGCAAATCATTAACCCCAATTGCCTAAAAAACAAAATAAAACTGAGAGCAATGTTAAAGCTCATCTAGTCCAATGTAGCACAATGGCCCGCACATAGTGGAAAGGCATTTAATTCATATTTGTTGAACTGAATTTATTTGATTTTGGACTCAGAAAAACTGGGTTTGAGGCTGAGCTGTAATGCTTACTAGGTAACCATGGGTAAGTTCCTTTAACTCTGACTCTTCAGTTCCTCATTTATAAAATGGGGATAACTGCCCCACTTGCCTTATAAGGCTATTGTGAGGAAAACACTGGGGAACCTTAAAATGCCATAAAAACAGCAGTTATTATTGGACAGAAGATGGCTGCAGACTTAGACCTGGAAGGAGCAAACTGAAGCCTACAGAAGTCAGTGGTTTTGCCCAATGTCCCAACATTGGCAAGCAGCCAAGCTGGGCCGTGCACCTCCGCTCTTTTGACTGCATGTCAGGTGACTGTCCGAGGCTTCAGCCTAGGAAGCGGCAGAGGCCAAAGAGGAAAGCCGGGTTTTCTGGCACCACTGCAAGCTCCTTTCCATAACACTACGTCGCCTCTCAGACAAACCAGGCAACATAACAGTTACCAGCAATTCCAGCTGCAAACAGCTCTAGACGCTCAGCTCATCAGCAGCATGGGTGGGATTAATGCGGCTGGCTCTTCAGAGGAGCTATCAGATAGAAGGCTTCCTTTTCGTTTTAACAATAGCACAAGGAAGGAGGCCATCAGGGCAAGACTGAGATTATATGAATCATTAAGGAAGGAGACAGGTTCCATTCCACTCCCTCCTTCCACATGTTCAAAAGGGAACCATATTTTGGTGCCTTAAACACAAATCAGTGGTTCTGTCGCCATGATTCTTTGTTTCCTGTGAGCTCCTAGAGAAACAAGAATACAGGACAGAGAGACAATGGGAAGCGGAGGAGTGCTGGGTTTGACAGAGGGGAGGGGACAGCTGCAGGTATGAATAGCAACTAGTTTGTTCACAGCTAGGTAGACTAAACACACCATTACACAATGCTGAAAGGGTTCTTTTTGTGGGGACATGTGCACTGCACCCACACATATACATCCAGACACCACATACAAATACAAATGTGTAATTTGGTGCTGGGAAGAACTTAATATTCACTCAGTATATACAGCAAATAAAACAGAGAATTACAGAATCAGAATCACAAAATTTTAGGGTTGGAAAAGACCTTAGAGATCATTCAGCCCAACAAATGAAGCCCAGAAAGGTGAAGCGTCTTTCTGTCTCTCCCCGCAGCTGCCAGGCTAAGGGTGGAGGAGGCCGAACATGGTGCTGGGCCTGGGTGCTTCCAATGAGAACTGATCAAACAGCAAAAGCACCAGGAGGGAAGCTGGGCCAGCTCGGCTGGAGAAGCTGTCTGTGCTGCTTCAGATTATCTGTGTGGTAAACAGGCCAACTGCAGGGAAGGTGAGCTTCCAACAGGGTAAACAAGCTTCCTGGTAGTCCCAAGGTGCCTCCCCTTCACCCCAGTGACTTGATAACAGCTCCACAACTGTACCGAGGTGACCAGAGGCAGATCGGCCCATGCGGCTCCCTCCTTCAGAGGGTGAAAAGCATCTTCTGAGTCTCTGATGCAGGTGGGGAAGAAAGCAGCTAAGAGCCACCAGAGCAGATTAATCCTGTATCTTCTCATGAGCTAACGAGCAAACAGATCCTCTGGACTGGAGAACTTGCTTCTCTGAGAAGTTCTTAAGAAGCCAGAAAAACCTACTCACAGAATTCTTGCTTGGCTGGCTTTGCCCAATTCACGATACAACTGCCACTTTGTGATGCTGTCATGCAGGCAGTGGTACAAGTGGCTTTCCACCAGAACCTCTATTTCTGTGGCTAGACTCCTTAAGGCAGCACCTGAGTCTCTGCCAGCTAAGAGAAGAGCCTCACCCTCTTCAACCAAAAACCCAAGCCAATTCTTAGAAGCTCCCCCCATTCAGCTGCCCCCAGGTCAGCCTCCAAGTCTTTCACCTAAAGCTCCAGACAGAATTCACCCAGTGACATGGGGGCTGCTCAAAGGTATCAAAGAGTAGTGGTCACTGGTCATTGTCTGATGGGAGTTCAAAGAACGTAAGAAGTACTCCAAGGCCACATTGTGCTTTAGTCATTGAAGATCAAAGAAGAGAGGGCGTGTCCTCCCCCCAACATCTAAAACAAGGATGCCTTAAGCATGGGGGTGGCAGAGCTATCTCAGGAGAGCAGTGTCCAACAAAAACATAGCCAAACATCATCTGCACACACAGAACCACTAAATCCTAGTCATATCTAACATCAACACTGGGGTTTATGAGCAAAGTTATAAAGAAGGACAGTCTAAAGGGTGGTTCACATAAATACCTATTTACAGTTGCCCACTAAATCTGAAGAACAGTCACTACTGAGTTCTGTATTATTTACAATTCTCAAAAGAGCTTCAAAAGACAACTTCCTAAATCCCCAGGCTCCTCTGTGATAGAGGAGAACAAAAGGGAAGGAAGCAGAGTGGAAAGGCAAAAAGCCACCTGCTCCAAGGGTCATTTCCTCCCTGGGGCTTAAGCTCATTCAGGTCTGACTGATCTAAAGCAGTCCTGGAACTGGAAAGCTGCTATCTACATCCTGGAAATAGCTAAGGTAACTAATTAGTCTAACTTGGCACAACCTGTGGCCCGTGACAAATAGCTATGAACCAACCACTGAGCTCAGGAGCATGTGAAAGATCAGACGACAGCACACCCCTAGAAAACTATCATGCATGCACCACGGCTGACGTGTCAAGGACTAAAGTCACATCTTGCCAGCTTTGTCTTCTCATCCTCTACTGAGGGGATGGGCAGCAGAAAGGGGGGGGGGTAGGGGGGAAATACAACGTATGTAAAGCAAAAATACCCAAAGGAAAGCGCCTGGATCCTCTGGAGTGCAGGTCTCTAGAAGGCAGGGCATCCTTCCTCTTGGGCTGGGAGAACAGCATCACTCCACCCTGCCTCCTTTCCTCACCCACTGCCTCCCATGAAAATAGGGGAACAAATGCTGGCTGAGTAGTTTTTATTAGTGCTGACAGCTGGAGAGGTGGCACCAATAATCAGGGGTGAGAACTGATTTAAGGGACTACGTTTTCAGTTAGCTTAAATGTGAGAACTTAATGGGATTAAAGATTTTGAATGTCAGAGACTAAAGGGAACTTGGAATAAAGAATACAGACTATTAGGCCTGGAAGGGAAGTTAGAACGTATCTGAGGATTCGAATGAGCAGCCCATTGGGTCCATCCACCTTCTGACAGATTAGGATGCTCAGAGAGTGGTAGTCACCTGCCAAAGGGTCCCATAACAAGCTGTTGGCAATGTCTGGCCTTCTGGTCTCCTAGCCCAGGACTTTCCATCGAACCAGATATGAAACGCAAAGCTTAGTCCCTGAAAATTAGATCATTGGAAGCCAAGCAGGACAGAGAGTGGATTCTTCCTCACTGGTTCCTTTGTTTCAGTATAGCAAACCAATAGAGAGTAGCTGTGAAGGTTGAAGCTAAGGGAGCCTTGAGTCTATCTCTACCTACTTCCCAGCCTCTTTTAGGCCCTGGGGAGGTGAGTGTAGTTCAGTTTGTGGGTCTGGGGTTTTGGTGGATTTTTTGTTTGTGGGGAGTATGCGGAGTGAATGAATAGGCCAATGCCTGATCCCAAGAACTAGGGAGGCAAAACATGGAGGAAACTAAAGAGGCTGCAGGGGTTAGAACTGCCAGTCTGAGCCACTTTCTAATCAGCTTTCTGGAAGCTGTGTCAATCGCAGCCTTCAAACCAATTTATTCCAACAAAGATGAATTAGCTTAGGTCTTTGGTGCAATTAAAACCAAAAGCTATCTGTACACAGACATTTGCTGATTCTCAGTCAATAAGGATACCTAAGCCACTTCCTAACAGTGTTTGAGGAGCACAACCTCCATTACCTTCTGTCTTCTCTGGTGCCTCCAAATTCTATTTCCTGGGCACACTATGCCACTCATGCCCTCCCGATAAAACCAGGTGACAAGCTGAGCCCCCCCCCAGATCTCAATGCCTCCTAACTGACTGGAATAAGCCGGTGGCCCCAAGTCACTAGCAGGAAGGAAAATTCCTGTGAAATTAGCAAGAGCATGAAACAGAAAACACAATGGTTGCTCAAAAGCTGAAAAACCTAGGGCAGGAAGGAAAATGTGTACAACCCTCCCTTCCCTTTTTCCTATCAGTAGTAAGCACGGAACCTTAGCAAGCAAAGCACACTCCATCTAACTGCCGGTATATGACTGTAAGCTGGGCTGCCTGTGAGCAAACTGCCCAAGTAGCAACCCTGCTGCACTCCTAGTGACCCCGGCTACTGGGATTTTCTACCTAAATCCTACCAACGATGTTCTTGCTGGATTACCAAGGCCAGGATGGCCAGAACACATTGAAACAGAGGCAGAGGAGACTTCTGAGGGGCCAGGTCTAAGTCACGCCAACGACCTGGAATGCCCATGCGTTAGTGATGCTGATTCTAACCCAGAGGAGAGGGGAAAAAGGGAGAAGGAAAGAGGAAGTGGGGAGGGGGAGGATAGAAAAGGAGGGAATGGAGGGATAAGGAGGGAGGGAGAGAGGGGAAGGGAGAGGGAGAGAGAGAGAGAAGAGGAGGAGGGAAAGAAAAGGAGGATGAGGGAGGGAAGGGAAGGCAAGGGAAGGGGAGGGGGAAGAGAAGGGAAAGGGAGGGAAGGGAAGGCAAGGGAAGGGGAGGGAAGAGAGAGAAATGGAGCATCTACATTCTATGTTAAGTGCTGAGTGTTAACCCAATTCGTTCCCCAGCCTTCATCTTAACTTGTGTCTCTTGTCCCCTTTGCGTCCTTCAGTCACGAGGTCAAGTTGCTTTTTACCAAAAGTAAACAGTATCGCATACAACTTATATATACATATACATATATATTCTGGAGGGTAATATCACAACCTACAGGAAACCTCTCTGCCAGCCGCAGATACCCTCTGAATGTGAAGCTCTAACTCCTAAGCAGACACAGGCAGCCCACATGCTCAGCGCCACCTGAAGGCCCAACGTGAAGGAGCACCAAGCAATGGCCTTGAGGAAACACTCCCTCTTCTGTACAAGCCCCTCACGGGTGGCAGTTCCTCCTCTTTGCTGGCTGGTGGATGGGGAGGCACGGGACAGCAAGGAGCATCCTTCAGATTTGGGCTCTACCTTCCTGGAGCCTCCATGGAAGGGTTGGAGCGCTCTAGCGAAACTTTTCTCATTGCCCCTACCACTTGAAGAAGACCAGTCCTGCAAGGACTGCATAGCCCAACACCAAAAAAAGAACTTTCAAGAGACGGTCATTCTTGTCTTCCAGTTCTTTCACCAAAATCTCAAAGAAGGTCACAAAAAGGAAAGTTCCTCCTGCAAAGCCCTGTAGCAGCACTGAGGCCACACTGCTAGCCACGCCCTTGGTCCTTTCGATGCCCACTCCAAGCCCGATGCCCAGAGGGATCATCAAGCTCACCGTGACAGCCAGCTTGGCTGCATCTTTCAGTGGCAACGAGCTCTTCGCCATGTTGATCCCCAGAGCCACGGCCACTAATGTCTCATGAATGGCCACGCCGACAAACAAACTCATGACCTTGTCCCCCTCCTCCTGCAGGCCCAAGGCCAAACCCTCAAAGATAGAATGGGCAGAAAGAGCAAACACGAGGCTGAAGAGACGCAGCGGGCTGGAGCGGGAGAGCTCTTGAACATCTAAGCCATGGCCATGGGAGTGACGACCATGCTCTGGGTAAAAGTTGTGTCCACGGGAGTTTCCAATGAAGGGGCTCTCATACTCTGAGTCACTTCCCACATCAGAGCCTGCATTGAAGGTCTCTAGGTCAATGAATGAGGGCTTCTCCTTTCTGAAGGTCAAAATGACCTGCTCCACAAAAACAGTCATGAAGAACCCCAGGAGCATAATGGTCTCTGCTAAGGGATAGTCTGTGGTGATGTTTCCAAGTTTCAGAACTTCTTGGAGCTGAAGCAAAGGACAAAAGAAAAAACATAAAAAACTTAGAAGTAAAATAACTGTGTCCATCTTCATAAAAAACCAACATATGGAAGTCACCCTTGTCATAGCACCTGAGCCCGAGGCCACCATGGCAACAGATTTCATTTAGGGAGAAGCCACCACGGGACATTCATTCATTCATCAAACATTTACTGACCCCTAATATGTGTGAGACACTGCAGAGAAGTACAAATCCCTGTGCTTTAGGAGCCCGTCATCTGCTGGGGGGTAATAAGAAACTACGAACACAAGGCAATATAAGATAATTACAGCTAGCAGTTAACAGTTGTACAGCACTTTGTTTGCAAAGCACCTTACATAAATTACTATGCCTCATTTGATGAATGACTGAATGATATGGACAAGGAGTCTGGAGTGATTAAGGAAGATTTCTACCTTTATAAATATTATCACATTGGGACCTCCCAACCACCCGGGGGGGGGGGTAGGAACTTTTAGCTTTTCAGCCATGTCATGGCATACGAACCAGGCCTGAAAAGCTAAAAGGATTTTAATATAGATAAATGGGAGGTGAGCTGGGAGGAGGGGAACGGGGCAAGGATATTCCATGATCAAAGATGAAAAATGACAAGTTATGTGCATGGGATAGTATGTGGATAGTATTTTGGCTAGAATGGAAAGTCTTATTTAGGAAACTAGGAACACATAAGACTAGAAAGATAGGTAGGGTTTCTAAATTGTGAGGAGGATCTTGAATGTCATGCTAAGACAGTTACCTTCAGCACAGCACGGCACTGAGGAGCTTTAAACAGGGGTCAACACACTATTTTCATAAGTTTACCAGGACGGATTAGAGAGAGGACTGACTGGAACTAGGAAAACAACTGAGGTAACTGCAATAATCCAGGCATAAGGTAAAGGACCTGAACCAGGATCGGGGCAGTGCGAATATATAAAAAGGGGGAAGATGAATGAGAAATGATGAAGGCAACATTAGCAGGACTTAATGACTGATCGGATGGAGCGGGTAAGAAGTCAAAGATGGCTCTGAGGTATAGAGCCCTGGGTGATTTCAAAGTAAACCTACAGGTTTCAAGACCAATAATATAAAAAAATCAAAGACTATGAAAGTCATTGTCCTCCATGGGGAAACAGCCCAGGGAGAATCTGGCAGTGACCGTAAAAAAAAAAATACTTGGTTATGCTTTCCACATGTGGTTAATATGGGATATTTCTGTGGCAAATTGGCGCTGTACAGGGGAAACTAGGAATTTAATTCAATAAACATTTCTTAATCATCTACTGGGTGAAATGCTGGAAAGGGAGGCAGGAGCCAGAGTACTGCGCTAGACACCATGGGAAATAGTCAAGTTGAGTTAAGACAAGCACTGCTGTCATGGAGCTTGGTCCAATGGGGAGATAAGAAATATATGTAAATAACCATAATACACAAAAATAATATGTGATCAGATAAGGATTTTAGAAAAGTGCAACCACACATGCATCCAATAATGCTGACATATTCTCATTTCCACTGCAGGGCATCCAGAAGAGAGAAATCCCCCTAATTCTAAGAGCATTCACCCTCATGTCCTATGGAAAACCTTGATGAAATCTCCCAGCCCTCAACCCCTTCAGTCCCATATTTTGAACAGAGGTGAAGCGCTCATCACAAGAATGGCAAACAGCAAACTGTGGAGGACGTGACAGCAGAGACAAGGGGGTCGGGAAGACAGTGTTAGTATCTCAGGGAAACCGGGCACCACTGGGCACAGAGACAGAAGAGGGCACAGGCAGAACCTTGAGTGACATTCCAGTTATCTCAAGGTAAACAGCCGAATCAAGTGGCAGCTGACTGCACCAGCACTTCCCCAGTCAGGGAGCAACAAGCATATATGTGGTGGCAAGAAACAATGGGCAGTTAAATACCGGGAGAGGCCAATCGCGTCTCAAACACAGTAGCAATAGCATGCATGAGATCTGCTCCTGGATTTTTCTTACCTCTCGGTGTCTCTGTGCTGAGTGGAGGCATTCACTGGTGTCTTTGTTGATCTGGGGTCAAGGCTCAGGCTGCCCCCCCACCCCCCCCCCCACACCAGAATTAGGGAAGTAAACAATAAGGAGAGCTGTGATCAGAACCAGAGTAGAGATGCCTAGCTGAATTATACCCACTGAGCTTCCTTTGAATTCCCTGGGGCCTGGAAAAGGTACCTCTTAGTAGACAACATCAATGACATATAGAACTCAATTGTTATCATCTTCGAACTAGGTAGAACCTTTCATGGAAGATAGTAAGAAGATAAATATTCCAAACTTAGCTTTCATGACTCTTCATCATGAATGCTCCCTCTTGGCTAGAACAGTCTCTTTATTGTCCTTCTTCAAACACAGAACTCATTCTCACCTTGTTCATGGAGTGCGCCTGCCCTGGAAGGCTTCTCTCTCCATCATACTACCCTTTGCCAAGAACCAGTTCCAACTCCCACCCCCTCAAGAATCTGTCCCTGGAACCTCCACAGCCTACAGTGACCTCTCCTTCTACACTCCTTTTAGACTTACTGTCTGCCCAATGCATTTGGCATATCACATAATGACTAGTATTGTTACCATACTCTGTGAGTGTGTGTGTGTGTGTGTGTGCTGGCTGCCCAGATAAAAGATGAATGGCTCAAGAGCAAGAACCAGATCTCAGAACATGAAACAAAGAACAGACATGGACAGAAACTCATAAGACACAATGCCAGAGGTGGGAGGGCACTCAGAAAACAGAACACACAATGTCAGAGGTCGACAGAACCTTGAAACATAGAACATAAAATGTCAGAAATGCAAAGATCCTTAGAACACAGAATACACAACGTCAGAGGTGGAAGAAAAATTAGCACATTGAAGACAGAATGTCAGAGCTGGAAGGGACCTCCAGCCAAAATGGCCCTTGGGAAGTCATGTACAGTCTAGGAATTCTCACCCTGTTAGGGGGAGAAGCTCCTCTTCATTTCCCTGAAACCCCGGGATCACTAAGCGGAGGGAGAGAAACACGCACAGGGAGGTGCCTCCTCTAGGTCTTGTGGCTGACCTGAGAAGAGGCTGCCCGTGACAGGTTGTATTCCACTCCTTGCTGGGAACCAAGGCAACCTGAGAAGGAAATGTGGCCACAAGCACAACTTGGAGGTCTGTCTGCTAGCAGATAACTACGTACTGCTTAGGACCCTACCTTAGTCATAGAGTCATAAAAGATGCAAAGGGAGCTGCCAATCCCCTCATTTTAAAACTGGGGAAACCTTGAGGCCCAGAGGGGTTCAGCGCTTTGCCCAAGTTAGTCTAGTGTTCTTTTAGATCCTTTATGACATTACGCTCAGCATTAAGCACATGGTAAGTGCTCTGAGATCTGCTGAATGAATCACTGGGGACCTTTGACTGACAACCTCCACAGCTGCTCCATCCCAGCAAGCAAGTGTTCTTACCTTTTCTCGCACAGCAGGGAGCAAGGCATTGAAGCAGGTGGCCAGGAAAACGCCACCTCCAAAAGAGTTGCAGAGAGAGAGGATTTTCTTGGAGCGGTGGGCTTTCTCATAATCAGCCTCAATGATCTTTACAGGCAGAATGGAGCCAAGTAGCATGAGGATAAACACCCCCACCAGGCACAGCAGTTTGGCTACTAAGATCTTCGTCATGTTCACAGCCAGCAACGCTCCACCTGCCGGTGTCCCAAACCAAATGTAGCAGAGGCCAACACTCTGGAAGTGCTAAAGGCTGCAGAGCAGCATCCAGGGACACATGCTTCCCAGTAGCAGCTGTGAATGTCAAGCAAGTAAATATTAAGGCTACATATTCTCCAACCACACGTCATGAGGAGCTCATCAGCTTCGAGGGATAAGAAATGACTGTGTTTTCTGCCATCTAGATCTCTCCACTGAAATGCTATTCCAATTCCTCCGATAACATGGAGGAAATCCCAGGCTCTCAAAGGACGCCAAAGTGGCAGACTGCAAATTTTATCCAGTTCTATCAGCCTGGAAAGGCTTTGGGCACCAGCTCAGGGATGAATTTATGCACCTGTTAGCCAAGTGAAATCCAGAGAGAGATGCGTCATCAGGCTAGTTCTGAGATGATGACTTTTTTGCATCTGGTAATTTGTAGGCGGTGGTGGGCAATCTGAATTAGTAAAGGGAATGTCCACACAATGAAATTAAAGATCCTCTACCTACACACGCACATACACACACATATAATTAAAATTGTTCGGGCAGTTAGGTGGCGAAGTGGATAGAGCACTGGCCCTGAATTCAGGAGGACCTGAGTTCAAATCTGGCCTCAGACACATAACACTTACTGGCTGTGTGACCCTGGGCAAGTCACTTAACCCCACTGCCTAGCCAAAAAAAAAAATTCTTCATAATCATTGTTTCTTGTATTTCAGTGCCATTCCATTATATTCATGGAAAACAGTTCATTCAGCCATTGCACATTTCATGGGCACCTACAAATTATCTATCTATCTTTCTTTCTTTCTATCAATCGATTGATCAATCTATCATCTATCTATTTCTAGTGAGGGCCATCTCCAGTCATCCTGATCTATATCTGGCCACTAGACCCAGATGGCTCTGGAGGAGAAAGTGAGGCTGGTGACTTGGTATAGCTCTCTCTCACTTAAATCCAGTTCCCTTGTGTGTCATGTCATCACCTCCCTGATGTCACAATCCTCTTCAAGAAAGAAGAAAAAACAACAACTTCTAGTATCTATCCATAGGAAAATTAATTCAGTCTTCTATTTATTTGTAGGTTTATCAACCTATTTATTTTGCCATCTGAAAAAGTAAAGTAATTATTATTTTGTTAAAAAATAAAAAAGAAATTAAAGATCCTCAAAGTATTACTAGGGGTGGTGGTGATAAGACATGTGCCCAGATAAAGATAACATAACAGAAGCAGTATAGAAGAGCAGAAAGTATGTTGGACATAGAGGCTGAAGGGGGATCAGGGTTTGAATGTCACAGCAGTCACAAGAGCCTGAGCAGGTCAGATGACTTTGTGGAGTCTCAATTTCTGCTCTTGTAAAATAGGGATCACAATCTCTGCCCTGCCAACCTCATGAGACTGTTGTGTAGAAAGTACTTTGTAAACTATGAAGCAATATAGAACTGGGTAGGATAAATGCACAAGGGAGTATGAAGATACCACAAAAGGGAAAAATAACTCCCAAGTCTAAATCCCTGAGTATGCAAGGGGAACCTGGCATCCAATGGCACCACAGGAAGACCGCATAAGCAAAGGCATCATTGAAAGAACCCTGGATTCGGAGTCAGAAGACCAGAGTTCAAGTCTTGGTTCGGGCATTTACATCTGAGTGAACCTGGGCAAGTTTCTACCCCTCCATGGGCCTCATTTTCTACATATACAAAAGGAGGACACTTAACTAGATAATTTCTATGGTCACTTCTAGCTTTAAAGCCTACAAAACCATAAAGCACTACAGAAGTGTGAGTTACAGAAGATGCAAATCAGAGTATAAGGAGTACATAGGGAGTATGAAGTGTTATGAGACTGGATAAGGGAGAGAGCATGTCCAGTTAGGGCTGGTGGGGAGGGGAGGAAGGAGAATGGGAGGAAGTTTCCAATAAGACCTCACAGAGGACTGCAGCTGGGGCTCTGAAGAATAATCCAAGTCAGAAATGGAAGTCTGATTACCAGTTCACAAAGGACAAGCAATGAAGGAGGCCTAAGCCTGAAAAATATTGCAAGATAAGAGAAAGCTGTGTGCTATACCACAAAGAGTACAGAGTTGGAGTAAGACCTGGGTTTGAATCTTGGCTCTGTCCAGAATTAAAAACACCTGCCACAGCTACCTGTGAGACCTTGGACATGTCCCAACTGATACTGAGTTTCCACAAATGATCTTTGAAGCTCTGTCTTATGAGCTTAGAGGAGTGTCAGAGTTAGGAGGGACTTTAAATATGAATCCCACCTCATTTTTCACCAAGGGAGAAGCTGAGACTCAGACAAGCTACACATCATTTGGACAATCTATCTGCCTTTTATGCCTAAGTCTTTATGTCTGCTGTATAGGGTTGTATGTAAAGCACTTCACAACTTTAAAATGCTATATGAATGTCAGTTATCACTATAATTAGGGAAACAAATCCTAGACTAGGATTCAAGAGCCCTGGATTCTAGTCTCAACCCTGCCATTAACAAGGGCAGACATTTAAATGTTTACTGATTGACTGATTCTGGACCAGTCCTTTAGTCTAAATGAGGGGGTTGGATAAAATGATTTTGATGTCTCCTTCCAGGTAAGCAACCTTGCAAATGGAATATAATGGGAAGAGTGCTGGCTTCAGAGTCAAAGTTCCTGGGCTCAAATGCTGTTTCTACCAGTTAAAATCATGGTGACCTTATACAAGTCACTTTACCTTCTCTGGGCTTCAGTTTCCTCCTCTGTAAAGTGCCAGGGATGTACTAATTCAACCAAACAAGAAGCATTTACTAAGACCTTACTATGTATTAGGCACTTAGTTAATTTCTTGGGATAGAAAGAAAAAATGCAAACAACAGCCCCTACCCTCAAGGAGCTTACTAACAGGAGAGACACTTCTGGTCCCAGCTAAATTTCCACCTTCTCTATAGGAACACTTTCCTGATCCTCCTTAATCCTAAAGCCTTCCGTCTAATTCTTAACTCCAATTTATCTTGTTTTAGACTTCGAGACCCTCAGGAGCAGGGACTGTCTTTTGCTTTTCTTTGTAGCTCCAGCACTTAGCTCAAAGCCCGGCACATAGCAGGTGCGTAATAATTCTCATATCACACTGCAATGTATAATCTGACGGCCTCCACCACACTTAGTAATATCCCCTCTGCCACTTACTTTCCACAGTTTATTGACTGACTACACAGTTACATACAAGACGCATACAGAATAAATACAAAGTAACCTCACAGTGAAAGACACTAGCAACTGAAGGGACTAGGAAAGAGCATTTGAGGAGGTACTTAATGCTCAATTAATGAATGGAGGACGATCCCTTTCAGCTCTTCATCTGCGATGCTATGATAGGGGTCATACCTTGCAGTGTGATGTAGGGATAAGGGCTCTGGATTTGAAGGCAGGGGGACCTGGGTTCGAATCCTATGTCAGGATTGACACGTCTGGGTGACCTTGAGCAAGTCTCTTCTTAGGATCACTGACTCTGAGCTGAAAGGAAGCTTCTAGTCCCACCCCCACATTTTACAGAAGAAGAAACTGAGGCCCAGAAGCGAGGGGAGAGGAGGCTCGCCATCTCCAGCCTCCTCTTCACTGGGTCTCCGCTTCCTCTCCTTCCCAATCACAGGGTCTCTCCGGCCCGTCTCCCCCACCCCGCTGGAAGGGATGACGGGTGGGGTCGGGCCTGACAGCGTCGAGGAGAGGCCGGAGACCCAGGCCCGACGACAGCCAGCGGAAACGGTGGGTCTGGCCCCTCTGGCCTGGCTCCCACGGCCCGCCTCCTCCACAGCCCCAGCCCGCGGTCTCCGCCTCCCGCCCCGGCCGCCCTCGGGTTAGCGCCGCCACTTACTTCCCAGCAGAAGCAGCGCCCGGGGCCAAGTCGCCGCCTCCACCGTCGGCGGGCCAACGCCTGGGATCCCGCCCGCTCTCAGCGCTTTACCCCGCCCCTGTTGCCATGCCGCCGTCCAATTGGTGGTTTCTCACGTCACAAGAGGAAATCTTGCTAATCATTGGCTTGGGTGACTATCAATTGTATCCTCCGCCCGCCCACTCAAGCACTCCGCCGAATGGGGTTTAGGGAAAGTGTTTCTCCCTCCAGGGGTTGCAGAGTGCTCGGAGGAAAAGGACCCGGAGAGAAACGGCTACCTGTAGGGAAAAGGTTCTGGGAGGGGGAGGGGCCGTTTAGACGCTTTGAGAGCTGTCCAAGAGAGATGGTGCTGAATCTCCCTTGAACTCAAGGCTCATCTTTGAGCCTTTCCACAGACTATTTATCCATGGGGCAAGCCTACCACAGTGTTTGGGGAAGACTTCCTTTGGAAAAATAACCACAAATAATGGCTCACATTTATATAGACTTGAAGGCTCAAGACACTTTTCTCCCAGAAGGCAGGCTCTAAGTGGGAGAAACAGGCAGGGGTTTAAGGTGGCCAAGGACTCCCAGCATTAACAACATAGGTGCCATATACTCAACTCCTTACTCTCTCACCCCCCATATCCAATCTGTTGCCAAGTCCCATCCATTCTACCCTCATAACATCTCTCCTATATGCCTCCTTCTCTCCCCAACACTGCCATCACCCTGGTACAAGCCCTCATCACTTCAAACTTGAACTATTGCGGTAGCCTTCTGGTTGGTCTCCCTACTTCAACTCTCTTTACTCCAATCCATCCTACACTCAGCTATCAAAGTGATCTTCCTAAAGTTCAAATATGATCGTTTGTTTTTGTTGTTCAGTCCTATCATTCTTTGCCACCCCATTTAGGGTTTTCTTGGCAAAGATACTGGAGTGGTTTGACATTTCCTTCTCTAGCTCATTTCACAGATGAGGAAACTGAGGCAAGTAGGGTTAAGTGACTTGCCCAGTGTCACACAACTAGTAAGTGTCTGGGGCCAGATTTGAACTCAGAAAGATGAGTCCTCCTTTCAGGCCCAGCACTCTATCCACTCCACCAAGTATGACCATATCATTCCAAGGTTCAATATACTCCAGTGGTTCCTTATTATCCTTAGGATCAAATATAAAATCCCCTGACTTTTAAAGTCCTTTGTAATCTTGTCCCTTTCTACTTTTTCAGTGTCCTTTTACCTTCCTTCCTTCCATGTACTCTGTGATCCAGTGAAATTGTCTTCCTTGCTTTTCCTCACACATAACACCCCATCACCCAACTCCACTGACTTTCACAGTTGTCTCCCATGTCTGAAATGCTCTCCCTCCTCATCTCTACCTCTTGGCTTCTTTCAAGTCTCAGCTAAAATCTCACCTTCTGCAAGAAGCTTTTCCCAGTCCCCCCTCAATGTGATCTTCCCTCTGGAATTATCTCCTATTTATGCTATATAAATCTTGTTTGTACACTATTGTTTCCATGCTGTCTCCTCCATTATATTTATAGCAGTACGAGGACATCAAATGTTTTCACCTTTCTTTGTATCTCCAGTGCCTGGAACATAGCATGCACTTTGATGACTTGTTTGCTTGACTTGACTTATGAGAGGTACAGAATTCTCATACCACGCTACTATGTAGGATTGGATGGCCTCCACTGTAGATTTATTGTCAAGATAAGATGGAAAAATCATAGGACTTGGAATTGAGATTTCTGGGGTCTTTATTTGCTTTCTCTGACCTACTTTTGTAATTTACTTCACAATATTCTTTTTGGGTTTTTTTGGCAATTGGGGTTAAGTGACATGCCCAGGGTCACACAGCTAGTAAAGTATCAAGTGTTTGTGATTTGAACTCAGGTCCTCCTGACTTCAGGGCCAGTGCTCTATCCACTTCACCACCTAGCTGCCCCACACAATATTTTTCTTTAAGCACTATAAATTCTAGTGAAACTGAACTACTTAAGCTGTTTTAAACAAAATATGCCAGTTCTCACCATGAAGCCCTTCCCTACTCTCATGCCTGGAATGCACTGCCTCATCTCTACCTTTAAGAATCCTTTGTCCAAGGGCAGCTATGTGGCACAGTGGATAGAGCACTTGTCCTGGAGTCATGAGGACCTGAGTCCAAATCTGGCCTTAGACAGTCATTACCTGTATGACCAGGCCAGTCATGAGAGAGAGAGAGAGAGAGAGAGAGAGAGAGAGAGAGAGAGAGAGAGAGAGAGAGAGAGAGAGAGAGAGAGAGAGAGAGAGAGAATCCTTTGTCCAAGGCTCAATTCCTCCTTTCCCTTCCCGTTATATACTCCCAACCAACTGAATGCTTTTTCTCCCTCCTCAAATTTTCCATGAGCACCTTGCTGGCTCTTTCCCTCACCCCAATCACTCTCTACCTAGTATTAAATTTATCTATGTGCTCTCATATCTCCCATTTTAACTCAATAAACCTGCTAAATGCTGGGGATACAAAAAGGGAAAAGTAGAGTCCTGGGCCTCAAGGAGTTTACTATCTAATTTGGGGAAGACAATACACAAAAGGAAGCTTTAAAAGGGGAGGGAAAGTCATACCCTACCCCCAGTCAGATCTAGGAGTGAAAGAGCCTTTGGGAATTTTTTGCTTGGGCCTCCAGCCCTCCAATTAGAGGTGGGAGGGGGAGAAGCTGCTGAGAGCATGATAGTGGGGACAGCGTGATGTAACGGATAGACTAGCACTGGACTGGGAGTCAGGAAAACCTGAGTTCAAATCCCACATCAAGACACTTAAGAACTATGTGACCTTGGGCAATTCACTTAACTTTTCCAGACCTCAATGCCCCCATCAGTTTAATGAGAAAATTGAACTCAAAAGCTTCTTAAGATCCCTTTCCAGTTCTAAATCTATGATTCTATTGTTTATATTGTATATAATCCTATGATCTTCTAGACATTGGTCTTTGTTCTGCCCTCTGGGACCAAGTAAAACAGAAGCAGTCCTTCTCCAACCTGACATCCTTTGAAATCCTTGATGAGCGCTATCACGTCCCTGCCAGCCTTCTCCATAACCAGTTTCTTCAATTGATCCTCCTAACAGTTTGAATCACCTTATCATCCTATTGACCCTCCTTTGGACTCGCTCTCTTTTGTCAATATCTTTCCTAAAATTCAGAATTTATTTATTGGATATCTACTATATGCAAAACTCAGGTGCAAAACTAAAATGAAGTTAGAAGGGAAGGCTGGGACAGTTGGGATTAGACCATGGAGTTTGGTAGCCTTGGATTCCCTGGCTGGGAGCAAAGAAAGCAAATTTCATTTCTTTTATAGGCAATGTGGCAGTTTTGGAGAGAATGGAAGGAAAGCTGAAAAAGCTTGGTGCTTTTTCTGCCTGGCTACACTGGGCCACAGTTACATAGCAGGTCATTAATCACTTAGACAACTTTGCCATGACTTTGAAATCTTGAGTGAGTTGATTTTCTCTATACTCTTCTTCAATACTTCCAGTGATTAATGACATCTTCAGGAGGCATGATCCTTTCACCACTGTAGATCCCAACTCTTCCATGCCTCAGTAGATGACCTCCATAAGAAGCTGTGGCCACAGTAGTCATTACCTAATGACCAGTGAGTGTTCTTGTGATGAACCTACTGGACTCAAGCTAGACTCAAACCATCTAGACTTGACAACTCTCCAGCTTGATGGGGCTGCCTTCTAATCAACAAAGAAAAATATTTGCCTGAAAAGCACAAGCACTTCTGTTAGAGACAGGGTCATTTCTACCTTCTAGCTATTCTCCCTCTACCATTGATTCCAGGAGATGGTTCTGATCCTAGAAGATATCCATTGTAGTTATCAATAGTTTCTATGCCACCTAGCTGCCCTATATGCTAGCTATTATTATTTATTATTAATGAAGCTGGCTCTTTGTAATCACTTCTTCCTATCTAAATATTCACCAACCATCTCTTTAATGGTTCTTTGCAGAATTTTCCTAGGAATCAAAGTCTGGCCTATAGTTTGCAAACTGTTGTTGTTGTTGTTTTTCTAATTGGGACAATCTTGTGGCACCTCTTCTGTTTTCCATAATCTTAAATATATGTACAGTAACTCACATCTACCGTAAATATACATACAGTAACTCACCTCTGCCTTATTTCAGAACCTGAAAATGTAGTTCGCCTAGACTCTATCACCTGAATTCATCTAGAGCAAACAGGTGCTCTCTCACTATCAGCTTACCTTGGGCATCTATTCATTTCTCACCTGTCTTGATATATCTTCTTCTGGCTGCCTCAAGAGGTGGCATGCTTCCCCTTCCTCACTGGTCTAGCACAGTATGTTGTAGGGGGTATTCCTTTTATGTAAGGTTTGGAGTATGGCCACAGAGGTCCTTTCCAACACTCATGTTCTGTGATTTTGTGTTTTCCAATGCAACTCACACTACAACCCCCCCTGTTCAGGCCTCATACTCGCCTCCTTCATCTCTCCCCAGTCCAATCTGTCCTCCATTCAGCTGTCCTTGAGGACAAGTCTGTGCTATTCTGGGTTGTAGTGGAATATTATTGTGTTATAAGAAATGACGAGTAGGATGGTTTCCAAAAAAAAATCTATGAAGACTTATATGAACTGATACGAAGTAAACTGAGTAGAAACAGAACATTGTACACAGTAACAGCAATATTTTAATGATAACCAACTGTGAAGGACTTAGCTACTCAGATTTATACAATGATCCATAACAATTCCAAAGGACTCATGATGAAAAGTGCCATTCACTTCCAGACAAAACTGATGAACTCTAAGTACAGATTGAAGCACATTTTTTCACTTTTTAAATGTTATTTTATTTTATTTGCAATATGGCTAATTGGAAATGTTGTGTATGACTTCACATGTATAATAGAAATCATATTGCTTGTCTTCTCAA